CAGAAAGTTCTTTTCTTGCAGTTCTGGAGACTGAAAGGTGTTCCAGATCAAGGTGTGGACGGGGGGGTTTCTTCCGAAGCCTCTCTCCTTGGCTCACAGATGGCCACTCTTGCTGCGCCTGCACGGGGTCACCACTCTGTGGGTGCTTATCCCTGGTGTCTCTCTGTGAATTCAAAATTTCCTCTTCTTGTCAGGGATACCAGGCAGACTGGATTAGGGTCCACCCTGATGGCCTCTTGAAAGACTTTATCTCTGAATGCAGTTGCATCTGAGGTCCCGGGGGTTAGGACTTTAACTGAACAGATGAATTTTGGGAGGGACACAGCTCCCTCCCAGATTTAGCTCATAATGGCACTGTAATGAAGAAGAAGCCAAGGCTCAGAGAAGTATGTCACAGTCCAAAATCACAGTACAAGCCAGGGGATAAGGGTTTTTATCTCTCGACACACCCTCCCCAGGGCAGCAATAAAGGACCGTGCACAGAGGACAGGGAATGGAATCTGTTGTTTGAATTTAGGTTTCAGCTTTGCTTCTGTTACTTTTAAGAACTTGAATACATGCCCTAACCTCTCCTGGCCTCGGTTTCCTTTTCTGTGAAATGGGGACAATGAAAGGCTCTTCCTCACAAGCTGGTCGTGAGGATTCAGTGAGCAGGAAATGCAGAATTCACATTTACAATGCCTGAGGCCCCCTGGTCCCACTCTGCCTCTTCTCCTTCCCTGCCATCAAAATCTGCTCTTATTTACAGCTGGCCAAAAACGCCCAGTTATTTTCTTCAGATGGTTTGCTGTTTAATAGCTAGAAAAACCGAAGGCTTGAAACTGTCACAGTGAAATTATAGGCATCAGTTAGCAGGTGCATGCAAGTTTTGGTCATGCAAGATGGCTTTCTGGGATGCTGAGCCTGAGGCAGGAACTGAAAGGGAAAACTTGCTGATGTGCCCTTACACTCCGAGTTCCTGGAGGTTCTCACTTCTAAATAACAGGCTGCATATGATTTGATTTCATTTCACTCTAAATTGCCCAGCCTGCAACTAGGGATGCAAGGTGGAGTCCTGCAGATCAATTCTGCTGTGCAAATAAGCAGGAACCTGCTTACTTGGGGGCGCTTAGAAATGAGGCCAAGCTACAAATTGTTGAGGAAATGATTGCAGTTTTCCTTTGGGGTCAAACTGGGTTTGGAATACAAAATTGTTTTCAAATATTTAGTTTGTCATTTTGATGTATGTACCATGCGTTCTATGAAGTCCTGCCCTTTGCAAAGCACTTTGCTAAGGCTAGAGTGGGAAGATGGAGAGAATGTTCATCCTTTCCTGTGCTCACAGGAGCTCAGAGTGGGAGTGCAACTAAGAACTAGTAATGGGGTTCAGTAGACAGAGGTTCAAGCTGGGGAAGGCAGGGACACGCCAGTCTTCTTGTTCTAAGCTGGAACATCACTGTCCTGGGACAGAGGGACTCCTTTTATTATCCTTTATCCATTTGCCTTTTTTTTTTTTTTTTGGAAAGGCTGCTTTAAATCCTGCTCCTCTTGCATGGCCAGTACTGGCTTTCCCATTCCTGTCTGGGGTCAGCAGAGCAGGTCAGATGGAGGCAGGTTCTTTTCATCTGGACCCAGCCCTGGCTTTGGTGGTAAAATATTCTCCCTAAGTCCGGGTCCAGATTCCTAAATGAAGTCAAGTTGTCCAGGGTATGGATTTCCCTTGTGTTCCTCACAAGCTTTTGACAACATCAATCCCCCCGGTTTTGCCTGCCAGAATGCCGGGACCCGCAGAAAGAAGGGAAATAGTCACAAACTGAGTGGTCTTTTCCTCCAGCTTGTGTTCAGCCACTGCCGCTGTGGCTGTCACGGGGTCTGTGCTCTCCTGCAGCCCTGCCTGGCCTCCTCCCTGCAGGCGACCGCCCCCACATGCCCAGTGCTCTGAAATGTTTCTGCTCTCACTGGCCCCTTGTCACAAATGTCTCTTGATTTATAGGATCTGCTAGCCTAATTCATATGAAGGAGTGAATAATGATTGATGGAGTCTGTGTTGTAACCAGTGGCCCGTGCTTTAATTAATAATTATGAAACAACTTAAAAGGAACAGAGAAAGAAGCTTGAAAGGTGGAAGGATGGACCCAGTGTGGGAGCGGTTGTTTCTGCTGGAGGGCCTTCCAAATCCCGCCAAGCACGCGCCGTCCTCAACCACAAAGATCAAAGGCTGAAGGCCACTGGCCTATTTGCCTCCTTGTCATCAGCCTTGGTGGGGTGGAAATCTGCAAGTCAAGATTCCTGCTACCCATTATAGGAATCCGTCCACCATAAACCGGGGACATCAGCAGAATTGAATGGTGAACCAAAAACTGGAACAAATCACTTTAATTACCTAAGACCCAAACCTAATTCATGGTATTTCTTCATTGGACCATGAACCAACTTCATTATGTCCTCTCGTCCTAGTTGACCAGTTTAACCCAGAACTGAACTAAGGGCTCTCTAAAACTTGGAGCTACTGATGGAAGGGAATGTCCCGATCATTCAGCTAGCCAAGCCCTCTCATTTTACACGGAGGCCCTGAGAGGTGTGGCCCAGGGCCTCCGCTTCACTTAAATGCTTCACTCTTCTCGAGGTCACGTGGCACCCCAGGGGCCCAGATTCGACTCATTACTCTGGCAGCACCTCACCTTCAGCACTGCTCCATGTGACTGCTTGACTTGGAACCCCCAAAAATAGCACAAGGCTGGGCACAGTGGCTCACACCTTTAATTCCAGCACTTTAGGAGGCCAAGATGGGAGAATCACTTGAGCCCAGGAGTTCAAGATGAGTCTGGGCAACGCAGTGAGACCCTGTCTCTAAAAAAATAAAAAATTAGGCCCGGCTCGGCTCATGCCTGTAATCCCAGCCCTTTGAAGATCACTTTAGGTCAGGAGTTCGAGACCAGTCTGGGCAACTGGATAAAACCCTGTATCTACTAGAAACACAAAAAAATTAGCTGGGGTCTGGTGGTGTGTACCTGTAATCCCAGCTACTTGAGAGTCTGAGGCAGAAGAATCGCTTGAACCCGGAAGGCAGAGGTTTCAGTGAGCGGAGATCACGCCACTGCACTCCAGCCTGGGCAAAAGAGAGAGATTCTGTCTCAAAAAAAAAAAAAATTAGCTGACTATGGTGGCACTCCTGTAGTTCCAGCTACTCAGGTGACTGAGGCGGGAGGATCATTTGAGCCCAGGAGTTTGAGTAAGCCATGATTGCACGGCTGCACTCCAGCCTGGGCTTCAGAGCAAGATCCTGTCTCAAAAAAAAAAAGAGAGAGAGAGAGAGCACAAACTCCTGTATTATATATTGCATTTTTTTTTTAAACAGAGAACCTCTCTTACGCTAAAAAATCGGCACCCCAAATGAGAGATGGGTGGCCAGATTGAAGTTCTTCTAGCTTCCCCTCACAGCCTTAGAAATTCAAAGAAGAGGCTTTACAATTTATTGTGACCTGATTTATGTTGTGATTACTAATATTATCATTACTATTATTTGCTTCAATTATCCTACTCATTTATAATTTACCTTTCTTTCTTTTTTTTAACAGAGTTTTGCTCTTTTTTGCTCAGGCTGGAGTGCAATGGTGCCATCTCGGCTCACTGCAACCTCCGCCTCTTGGGTTCAAGCAATTCTCCTGTCTCAGCCTCCCAAGTAACTGAGATTACAGGCTCATGCCACCACACCGGGCTAATTTTGTATTTTTAGTAGAGACAGGGTTTCACCATGTTTTTCAGGCTGGTCTCGAACTCCTAACCTCATGATCAGCCTGCCTTGGCCTCCTAAAGTGCTGGGATTGCAGGCGTGAGCCACTGCGCCTGGCCTTATAATGTACCTTTCAAAGGTTATGTCGTCATTTATCTAAATCAGTGGTCCTTACCTGGAGGTGACTTTTGCCGCCAGGGGACATCTGGCAATATCTGGAGACACTTCTGGTTGTCACAACTTGGGGGGGTAAGCTGCCCACAGCGTGAGCCAGTGGTGTCTAGTAGACAGAGTCCATGGATCCTGGGAAAGGATGCACAGGTCGGCCCCACAACAAAGAATTATCTGGCCCAAAGTGTCGATAGTGTCAGACTTGAGAACCCTTGGTCTAAATCAACACCCAAGGGGAAAAAATGTCTCCTGCAATCCTGCTACCCGAACAAATTAAACCCTTCACTTTTCTATGTTCCTCCCAGCCTCTGCCCCACGGTGTAAACTTAAATTTCCAAAGCTCTTGTAATCGTGGCAGGAATACAGTTTAAATTCCACTTTTCTTCTCTTATGACTGTATCCTGGGCTGTTGTCCTCTGGCCTCATTATCTTCTCACCACTGTTAGTGGATGGAATACAATACCCCAGGCAGGTTGATAGCCCGTATTTCACCTGACCAGTCCAGATTTCTCAGTGGGGGTGTTTTTCAGGGGGGACTTACCAAGTGGGCTGCATGGGGGTGGGGTGGCTTGAGCGGCCCTGCTGTGGGCAGCCGCCTCCTCTTCCTGCAGCCCAGGCATCAGCATCATGGTCCTCATCATCAAAAGCCCTTTATGAAGCACCTTGGTGAATATACGCTGGCACCGGGGGCATCTTCTGCAGAGTTCTTCCCACCAGCCCTGACCTGCAGGGTTGCCAGCTCAGACAGCATCTATGTCAGCTCACCAAAAAGGCATCCAGAAACCGGGCTGTAGGACCCAGGCAGAGGGTGCAAAAACGGATTATTAGGCAAGATTCATGCCAAGGGTAAGTATGGCAGGGGATGCAAAGGCAGGCTGGATTCCCAAAGGGAGCCTGGCCCTTGAATTCTCTCCTCCAGCTGGCTGGCTGGAGGCTTCTTGGAGGACTTGGGATTTTAGAAGCCACTGCGAGGGAAGGAGAGAGTGAGGGGCACAGCTTAGCGGGTCAGGGGCTTGTGGTCAAGCGTTCCGGGCACAGCCTGTGAGAAGATGTTTCTCCGGAGACCTTCGTGCCACCCTCTGGTCTGACCTCAGTGTCCTTTTCCTTGCCTCCGCAGGTGTTCCATGAGCAAGGCATCCTGTTTGGCTACCGTCATCCACAGAGTTCTGCCATGGCCTGCATCCTCAGTCTTTTCCAAATGACCAATGAGACTCTCAACATTTGGACTCACTTGCTGCCTTTCTGGTACCTTTCTGCCCCTTCGACCGGCCTGTCTCCTCCAGGAGTCCTGGAGACCAAGGAGTGTTTTTTTTTTTTTTTTAATGGAGTTTGCTCTTGTTGCCCAGGCTGGAGTACAGTGGCGCGATCTCAGCTCACCGCAAGAGATTCTCCTGCCTCAGCCTCCCGAGTAGTTGGGATTACAGGCATGCGCCACCATACCAGCTAATTTTGCATTTTTAGTAGAGATGGGGTTTCTCCGTGTCAGGTTGGTCTCAAACTCCCGATCTCAGGTGATCCACCTGCCTCTGCCTCCAAAAATGCTGGGATTACAGATGTGAGCTACCGTGCCTGGCCGACCAGGGTGTCTTAAAACACAGCTAGTGTTGTGAGGGCTGAGATTCTGTGCCGGGATCTGGGGATCCCCCATGGGTACACGAGGGTGAAGAGAGTGTGTGACAGAGGGAAGAAACACTGGGTATGCCACTGCGATGACCTAATTTAAGGAGTGGATTGTGGCAGGATTTGAGGAGAAATCTCGAAAGCACCTCAGTCCTTCCCTGCTCTGGTGCCGGATTTAATAGCATTTACCTTCATCTCCTTCGGTCCTGGAGACTTTCCCAGTCTTCCAGGAGCCCTGGTTAAAATGTCACTAGTTTGAGCAAGTCAGTCTCTCTAAGCGTCACATTTTCCCACCTGCAAAGCAGTTGTGATGGTCCACACCTCCCAGGGGTTGCCGTGAGGGTTTGGGAAGAAAACATTGGTAGAGGCACCTGGCACAGAGCTGTGCGGGTTCCTAGTCCTGGGAACCACGGCAACCGGGAGGCACTTGGTCAGGCACCTGTAGATGGAGCCAGCTAAGAGCGAAGCTCTGGGAAGCCTGTACGCCGAAATGGGAGTTGCCAGGGAAGCGAAGGGGAGCCTTGCTGAGAAAGGTAGGGGCTGAAAGCCAATGTCACACATTGTACCCTTTGCTTAATGAGTGGAGGATGGACACAGGGTCAAAGCACCAAATCACAGTGGATCCGAAGTGGAAGAACTAGGAGGCCATTCAAGCCACTGTCCCACTTGGACCACCATTGGTTGATGTAGACACAGCAGAGAGAAGGGGTGGCTTCCTTATGTCATTCAGGGGAGCTGTGGCACAGGCTGGTCTGTGGACTCCCTCCAGTCATGTCGAGAAGAGATTCAGAGTGTGCAGTGAGTGGAGATGGGCCCATGCCCCCCACACAGGGACAGTCAGCCTGAGTAGAAGTCAGAAGACAGACCTGGGGCCAAAACGTAGGAGCAGGCTGTTTGGTTCTAGCAGCCAGCCCAGTGGAAAGTGGAGAAAGCTCAGTCTGGTGTGAAGTTCAAGGAGGTGGGAGGGGGTTAGAAAGCCTGCCTTAAAATATTTGAGAGGCTGGCCGGGTGCGGCGGCTCACACCTGTAGTCCCAGCTCTTTGGGAGGCTGAGGTGGGTGAATCACGAAGTCAGGAGTTCGAGATCAGCCTGACCAACATAGTGAAACCCTGTCTCTATTAAAAATACAAAAATTAGCAAGGCATGGTGGCACATGTCTGTAGTCCCAGCTACTCTGGAGGCTGAGGCAGGAGAATCGCTTGAACCCGGGAAGCAGAGTTTGTGACCAGCTGAGATTGAGCCACTGCATTCCAGCCTGGGCAACAGAGTAAGACTCTGTCTCATAAAAAAGAAAAATATTTGATAGGCTTGTTTTCTATGATCCTGGTGGGGAGAACTAAGGACAATCAAATGGAGATAGACTCCAGGGGGACAGGTTTAAGCCAATGAAGGAGAACTTTCCAGCCCTTAGAGCTGCCTTGGGAGGTAATGAGCCCCATCCCCGGAAGCATGCAAGCTGAGAATCACTAGGGGATTGGACTAGACATACATAAAGGCTGAAGAATCACTAAAGGATTGGACTAGATATATATAAAGGTTCTCTTCTTACTTCACTTGCCCATTCCCAGCATACTGCCTCCTAATTATAAAAGGGACCCCCCCCACGTCCCCAGCACATTGTATTCCCCCAAAGTGATCTGTAAAGGAACGTGGCAGTCCTGGGCTTGCAGACTGGGCAGGGGGTGCAGCACAGCCCTGTTCCAGAGGCTGTTTGTAATTTTTTAAAGTATACATGCTTATAAATTATAATCCTGCAGAAGAGAATAGAGTCAGGCTCTGCCACTGGCCCCTGGTTCTCCTCCCTGGAGTGGCCAGGGTACCTGCCTCCTGTGTGAGCTCCTGGAGCTTTTCTGGGGAACCAGGAGGATCTGCGCTATGAGTGTCCCCAGCATCTACCTCTTTCCCTGCTGTTCTCCCCTTATTTTCCTCCCTTGGAGATCTCTGTCTGTCAGCAGCTGCAATCTGCATGTCTCCTGGATTTTGGAACATCTGCCTGGATGTTCCATTCCATTTTCTGGATGAATCATGGTTGATTCAGGCTGTTTTGAGATGTGAGCTGTTTCAAAGGGTGCCAGTCTGTCCATCCCTGCTGTGGGTCTTGCTTTTCATGCATGGATCCCTGTAAGGTGATTTTTTTTTGCTGTTTTACAGCTGAGCCAAGCTGGCTGAGCCACATTCCCCTCACCCCCAGCACTGCCTGGCACATCTCTGCACCAGGCTCTCAGAGATGATCCTGACTGAGCAACAGAGAGTAGCAGGAAGGACTTGGGAAGGTTTGGAACAAGAAGCCCTAAGGAAATGGAACCACTGAAAAATGGAAATGACTAAAGGATATGTTTTGAGAGACAGCAAAGAGCTGAAGCTCTACTTCTGCTAGGACAAAAATAAAAAGACCACAAGCGTAGCTGGAAGGATTCAGCAATACTCTTTCAGTTTCTGTATATGAAAAAGCTCTGTGGCGTCTCCTCCCTTGGAGGAGTTAGTGGGAAGGGGAGCCAGCAATTTAGGAATGGTTTGTGGAAGTGGGGTGCTCTGCATGCGGGACCTCATGCGTGGATTGTAGGTCAGGCAGATCTGATGAAGAATTGTGAAGTGTCTCTGCATGGAGATCTAGGCTCTGCTGAGAGTCAGCTGTGAGACTAGCTACTCAGAAAAGTGACTGTACTCTTAATGGAGGAACAGCGTGGAGGAGGAGGGAGAAAATCGCCCTCTAAGGCCCCACCTGGGGCATTGCTTCTACTTGAGGAGCCTTTCTACAAGGGGGACATAGACAAACTACATGGAGCAAAGACAAACCACAGGGATGGCGGCAACGCCAAACTTACATCCTGTGAGGAGTGGCTGAAGGAACTGGATTTATTTCATATGAAATTCAAGGAGGTGGGAGGGAGTTAGAAAGGCTGCCTTAAAATACTTGATAGGCTTGTTTTCTATCATCCTGGTGGAGAGAACTAAGGCCAATCAAATGGAGATAGATTCCAGGGGAACAGATTTGAGCCAGTGAAGGAGAATGTTCCAGCCCTCAGAGCTGCCTTGGGGGGTAATGAGCCCCCCATCCCTGGAAGCATGCAAGCTGAGGCTGAAGAATCACTACGGGATTGGACTAGATATACATAAGGGCTCTCTTCTTACTTCACCTGCCCATTCCCAACGTCCTGCCTCCCAATTAAAAAAGGACCTCCCCGCTACCTCCCTAGCACACGGTATTTCCCCAAAGTGAGAAGACAGAGGAATTGGTCATGGTGGGGAGGGGGAATGGAGACAGAAGACAGGCGAGGAACTAAAAGGAGCTCCCATCACAGAGGGTGAGTGGGCCCTTTGTGTTCCAGGTTCTTTGCGTGGAGGTTTGTGACTGCACTGTACGTGACAGACATCAAGAATGACAGCTACTCCTGGCCCATGCTTGTGTACATGTGCACCAGCTGCGTGTACCCACTCGTGTCCAGCTGTGCACACACCTTCAGCTCTATGTCCAAGAATGCCCGTCACATATGCTACTTCCTGGACTATGGCGCTGTCAACCTCTTCAGCCTGGGTAGGTGAGGCCCTGCTCTTGCTTTCCCTCCCCTGCAACCGAGCTGTTTGTCCCTTCTGTGAGCTAGGGTCACCAGAAGGATTTGATGAGTTTGCAGAAGAGCCCAGGGAATGCCAGTGCTCCTGTCCAGGCTCCCGATGGGTGTTTTATAAGAAACTATGCTGCTAAATATTTAGCCACTGGATCCTTGGGGATAACAGCCCCGATCTGCAGTGTTTGCCAATTTCCGTGGTGTAAATCTTCCCACCATGGCCAGCTTCAACCTACCAACGTGACGTCACAGAACACGGGTGGGAGGAGATACGTGCAGCACACCATTACAGAAATTCCACTGTGCAGATACAGTAGATGTAGTCATTGAGTACTCAGTACTTTTGTTAATATGATTTATTTAATTGCAAGTTCATGTAATTTAATATTTAATGATGGCTGTGTTCCAATCCCAGCTCTCTCACAGTTCAGAATGAGCTGACTCCAGTACATCAGTGCTGGTATCTGTCATGCCAGGCAGCGGAGGGTGAGGTCATGAGCCTCGCATGTCCAGAGGCTTAGAGCAATCAGAGAGGTGCTCAGAGTGCGTGGGAAGAGAGCAGTGTCCTAAGCCAGTGAAACTGGGTGCTGACAGCCTCTACTTCCTTGTCTCTCTCTCTCTTTTTTTTTTTTTGCCCTTCTCCTGATTATATGGACTTTTTCTTTAACTATGATGCTCCCTCCTCTGGCCACATTTTCTCTCTTCCCCCTGTGGGCATGCATCCATTCCCAAGGATGCGAGTTCTAGATTCTTCCTCCAGGTCCCACTCGAGGTGAGAAAATCAATTATTGTCTTCCTTGCCCAAGAGGTTGTCCATGAGAAGTCTACCTCCATCCTCTTTCTTCATATACACATACTCACACTCACACCACATACACAATATACTCACATGCACACACACACACCACACACCACATGTACTCACACACTGACACACACACACACACACACTCACACCACATACACACAGTACACTCACATACTCTCAGACGCTTCACACACACCACACCACACATGTACTCACACACTGACACACACACTCACACCACATACACACAGTACACTCACGTACTCTCATGCTTCACACACACACCACACACCACATGCACTCACACACTGACACACACACATACACACACTCACACCACAAACACAGTATACTCACATACTCTCAGACGCTTCACACACACCACATACCACATGCACTCACACACTGACACAGTCACATACATACACTCACACCACATACACACAGTACACCCACATGCACACACACACTCAGACACTCCACACACCTGACACTTACACACTGACACACACACAATACACTAACATACACATACCACATACACACACACTCACATGCACATACTCATACCACATACATACAATACACTCGCACACACAAATACTCTCAGACGCTCCACACACACATGTACACACTGACACACACAACACACACACACACACCATATACAATGCACTCACATGCACACACACACTCAGACACCACACACACCCAACACGCACTCACACACTGACACACACACAATACATTGCATATACACACACCACATACACACCATTCACATGTACACACACCACACATACACACTGACACATACAATACATACACTCATACCACATACAGACAATACATTCACATGCACATATACACACACATACATCACACACACCACACACACATCACACATGCCACACATATACTTACACACATACACTCACAGACACACAGGCTCACTCACATACACTCTAACACACATGCACACACACTTTCCCACTTCACTGCCAACTCCTCAGTGCTCTGCTGTCCAGTCCCCAGCATTCACCAGACCTTGCCCCTTCGCCCATGAGCAAGGGTCACCCTCAGACTTTGATGGGTTTGCAGAAGAGAGCAGGGAAGGTATGTGCCCTGTCCAGGGTCCCAGCCTCCTGACTGCCGGGATTGCCGTGATTGCCCCTCTTTCTCTGGCCCGTGCCACGTCCCTCCCTCCCTCCTGGGGGTCTTCCCACCTTCTGCTGGCCTGGCTCCCCTCCTCTGCTTTCCGGCATATATGGGTGGAGAGGCTCAGAAGTGGTTCTCTGACCTCTCCTCTCACGCGATCCAGCTCCCTGGGAATCTCTGTGCCTACTGCATCTCTCCCCACCTCTGGAGAAACCCCATCTCCAGTGTGAACCTCCTACCTGAGGACCATGCCACCTGGAGCCAGGGGACCAGAACCGTGCCTCCTCCCGCCCCGGCCCCCACACCTGCTACCCCTCTGCATGTCCAACCTGACTGATGGCCGCGCCCCTACTCATTCTCCCGAGTCAGAAGTCTGACTAATCCTCGGGCTCCCCTTCCTCTCACTCCCTGCCCCCACCTACCCTCTAGCCAATTGGTTATTAAGGCCAGCTGACTTCTCTCCTACCTGCTGTAAGCAGCACTGCCCCCTTGTCTTGACTCAGGCCCCGGCCTCTCACCTGCACGGTTATCACATCCCCTCCACCTCACCTGGCCCCTGGAGGCTTCGATGACACCTTCTACCACCTCTCCCTCCACCGATGGGGCCCCTTGTCACTGGAAGCATTCCAGACTTCTTCGAGGGGCAGCTTCTTGGCCCTCGGTCACCCGCCCCAGGCTTGTTTTGATAAGTGTGGGCATTTCTGGAGTAATCGCTGCATGGCTCCTTTGAAACGGACAGTGATCTCCTCTGCTCTTCCAAATACATGCTTCAGCAAACAGGTCTCTTGAAGGTCCTTAGGCAACCCTTCTCTCACAAACACCAAAACCTAAAACACAACACAACACCCAGCCTCTCAGCTGGACCGCCCCCCGGCTGCTGATATGACATCCTCATCTCAGCAAGGGCCCTCCCTCCAGCACTGATCCTTCTACCAGCAGCACCCGTGTCCCTGAACAGGTGAGAGGTGCACACTCTGAGTAGAGCTCAGCTCGCTGGGTCTGTCATCGTGGACCACAGCATGTGGCCAAAAGCAGGGCCTGTCACTAAACTGCCTGCGTTTCAAGCCCGTCTCTGCTAACTCCCTAGCTGCAGGACCCTGGGCGCGTGATCACACCTCTCTGTCCCTCAGCTTCCTATCTGTACAATGAGGATAAGTGAGGGGTTATGAAGGAGGGCGGTTAAAGTCTTACATGAGGTCATATAGGTAAAGCCCTTAGAGCAAAACTGGGCTCAGAGTGCATTCTCAGGTTGGGATTTGGGTGAGCAGAGAAGGGAGAGGAGGACATCCTGGAAGGCAGAATGGCACAAGCAAGGGCACAGAGTCAGGACTGCGGGAATGATGAGGGCCAAGCCAGATGCTGGGGACGGTCTTTGCAAGGGGCCCACGTGGTGCCAAGGCCTGGCCCCTCTCCCAAGCTTGGCTTTCCTTCCACAGGCTCGGCCATTGCCTACTCTGCATACACCTTCCCGGACGCGCTGGTGTGCACCACCTTCCATGACTACTACGTGGCTCTGGCTGTGCTGAACGCCACCCTCAGCACAGGACTCTCCTGCTACTCCAGGTACTGGGTGGCTCTGACCTCAGATGGCAGGGGAGGGAGGGCCTTGCATGCAGCTCCTGGGACTCTTTGAGGGAACCGGAAAGAGGAAGGGTGCTCGGGAACCTAGCACTCAGTTGCAGCTGGACTTCCCATTGTGGCAAAATCAGCTTCCTGGGCATGTAAGCACCAGCCCTCCATGCTCAGAGAGTCTCATACTTGGCTTAATACTCTGCTGCCTTTTTTTGTTGTTGCTTTTTTAGAGACAGAGTCTCACTCTGTCACCCAGGCTGGAATGCAGTGGCATGATCTCGGCTCACTGCAACCCCCAGCTCCTGAGTTCAAGCAATTCTGCCTCAGCCTCCCATATAGCTGGGATCACAGGCACCCGCCACCAGGCCTGGCTAATTTTTGTATTTTTTGTAGAGACAGGGTTTCACCATGTTGGTCAGGCTGGTCTTGAACTCCTGACCTCAGGTGATCCGCCCACCTTTGCCTCCCAAAGTGCTGGGATCACAGGCGTGCGCCACCGCGCCCGGCCAGTTTCATTGTTTTTGTTGTCAAGACAGGGTCTCACTCTGTGGCCCAGGCTGGTGCAACCTCAGCTTCCTGGGCTCGTCTGCTGCACTCTTAACAATTTGTAATCATTTTTGAACAAGGGGGGGTCCCTGCTCTTTGATTTGGTACCAGGCACTACAAATTATGTAGCTGGTTCTATTACTGGACAAGTCGCTTATCCTTGAACTTCAGTTTGCTCATTTATAAAACAAGGCTACAAATACCCCTAAGAAAAACGGAAGGATTACAGGTAAGGTACCCAGGACTCTCAGCACAAACCTGGCACAGAGGAGATGACCCACTAATGTGTGGTTGCTCATGGTGACTGGGTGTGCCTGCCTCTGGGCATATGTGGTAGGTGATGAGTATTATTCAAATGCCCTATGCATCCCTCATCCCTGTGAGTCAGCCCAGCTTACTGGCTCTAATTTCCACTGTTTTTTTGTTTTTTTTCTTTCAAGAAAACTCACTGGGGCATGACTGCAGGGAATGTGGTTATAAGAATAGCTACACCCGTTTATTCAGCTCTCTGTAAAAGCAAACTGCACGGAAGTTCCTTTTCCCTAAAGGAAATCTCCCGCATGGTTGTGCTGGGGTGGCAGCTGTGGCTGATTAGTGCCAAGGCTGGCACTTCTGGGCTGGAGGGCTTTGGTACTGGTCAGGTAAGGTAGGCTGGCAGGCACATCTGAGTTCCTTGCCCCCCGCAGTGGCAACTCCAGCGAGCCAGTGGAATCTCCCTGCCTCCACTTACCCCCCTCTCCCCAGGAAAAAACAGGGAGGTGAGATGTGCCCCATCTGGTAACTTCTCCAGAATGATTTTACCTCCAACTTCCTTGGGGTGACACTTGGGATATATGGGGCCGAGGGAGAGCAGGCAGGTTTCACAAACTGGACAAACCAGTTTTTTTGTTTTTGTTTTGTATTTTTAAATGGAAGGACAGATTCTGAAGCAGCATGGGGAATACTTGTTCCAACTTACCTTCTATTTACCTGCGCTGAGACGGGTTGGAAGCAGGGCGTTACCTTCCATGGGAGTGAAAGTCTCCTTTCTAGGAGTCCCTGCCGTGGATGTCAGGAGGCATAACACACACAGAAAATAATGCTGCAGAAAGAAGCCCAACGGAGATGAAGCCAGCCCCGAAGGCACAGTGCCCGGGTGCACGGGCTTATGGACGGGCCATGGTCCAGGAACCTGGACGCTCTTGGACCTGGTCTTTGGACCGGTCACGGCCCCTGTCTGCCTGACTCTCCCAGGGCTGTGTGGCTCTGGTGTTTGAAAGTTAGGATTAGACAGGGGAGCACCATAGGTTGAAGGAACAGAAGAGGAAGAGAAGGCTTCACAAGTGTAAAAGAAAGTCTCGAGTGAGACCAGGTGCCGTGGCTCACGCCTGTAATCCCAGTACTGTGGGAACCCCAGGTGGGTGGACTACCTGAGGTCAGGAGTTCGAGACCAGCCTGGTCAACGTGGTGAAACCCCATCTCTACTAAAAATATGAAAGTTAGCTGGGTGTGGTGGCGGGTGCCTGTGATCCCAGCTTGGAAGGAGGTTGAACACTTTAGCTGGAGAGGAGGACTCGAGAGGCTGAGGCAAGAGAATCTCTTGAACCTGGGAGGCAGAGGTTGCAGTGGGCTGAGATTGTGACACTGCACTCCAGCCTGGGTAATAGAGCAAAAAAAAAAAAAAAAAAAAAAAAAATTGTATTTTTAGTAGAGACGGGGTTTTGACATGTTGGCCAGGCTAGTCTCGAACTCCTGAACTCAGGTGATCCACCCTCCTCAGCCTCCCAAAATGCTAGCATTACAGGTGTGAGCCACTGTGCCTAGCCTAGCTTGCTTTCTTCTAGCCAGGCGTCTTCTCTGATGGTTCAGATATAACAGATGGGGTCTTCTGAATGTGGCATGCCTGGTGTCTTTGGAGGAACTTGTCTGGCAGGCCAGCTTTGCCAAGCATCTCCTGGGTGCCTGAGTTTGGGGGCTTCTCCCTTTGCCAATGAAATGGATTATCTATTTATGGAACACATCTGTGGCTATTCCATCCATCCACCCCTCTACACACCCATCCAACATTTCTTAAATGCCTGCCATACTGCAGGTACTATGTTAGCAGCTGGGGATGCCAGGAGGATGCCCTTGCCTTCAGAGAGCACCCAGTGCCATAGGAAAGACAGACTGCAGATGCCCCCAAAGGCCCATCATACTTTAGAGTGTGGCAGGAAGGGGTGTAATGTAAACAAATAATGATAAGGCAAAATGCCAGCTGCTGGGATACACGGAGTTCTGAGAAGTGGCATTATGATTGGATATTGAAGGAGGCTGGACACTTTTACTGGAGAGGAGGACAGAGTGACCAGCCTGGACAAGGGTGAGGACTGCAGAGAGGGTGGGCCAGCGTCGGGAAGCAGCAAGGTGCATCAGAGCTGCCAGAGTCTGCAAGGTGGATGGAGGAGAGCAGCTAGAGAGGGGCTTGGAGGGTGGGCTGGGGGCCTGTGAGTCCTTTGTGGATGGGCCCTTTGCTCATGAAGGATGAGAATCTCCTAGGGAAAAAATAAAAATCCTATGCACTTGGCTTCCCTGCCCTGAGGGGTTTCCAGTGTGTTAATAGCAACTGAAGTGGGAGCTGAGGGGAGAGGGAGGTGGGGGGCTATGTTGGAATCGAAAGGGAGGAAGTGGGCACATGCCACACTCTTGCAGCGGGCATTCCAGCTGCGGCCCTTCCAGCGCCCTATGCACCTCGTCCTCGCTCCACGTTCCCTCATCCATGGTTTTGCTGCTCTTACAAGCCCTGTCCTCCCCTCGTTCATTCCCTGCCTCTGCCTTGGGTGTCTGGGGACAAAGCTGACTTGTGTGCAGGAGTGATGCTGGCCCTGACTAAAATCAGCAGAAGCGGGTGGAGAGGAGGGTATGGGGATCTGGGGGTCTGGATTTCAGCCCTGCTCCTCCAGACTTGCTGTGTGGCCTCAGGGCAGTCACTGTCCCCTCTGGGCCTCAGGGTCTGCGTCTTCGACGAGGGCATCTGAGACGATGTCCTCTGGGTCCTCTCTGGTTTGGGCATCCTGCGATGCCAAGGCCTTAGTGTCTTCTCCAGGTTTCCTCTCCCAGCTGCCTTCCTCCCCCAGGCTCCACCCTGCCTCTCCCTCCTGCTCCATCCGGCCGTGGGTGGGCAGGAGCGGGAGAGAACCACCTTCCCCTTCCCGAAGCACAGGGGGAGACCAGGAACCTCATTATCAGCCTGAGAGTTATCCTATGCTTGCCCCAAAACCAGTATTGAAATGGCGTTTGTTCCATTGCAAGGCCGACCATTAAGGCCAATCTCAACGTAGAGAGCTTTGTCATGCCCTGAGTGGTTTTTGGTTCTTACTATCATGGACTTTGGTTCAAGTGAATATGTTCCAGAAGGCTGCCTTCTCGTTCTGCAGCATTTGAGAGGAGAAATGAGAGAATGCATGCCCTCTTCATGGGTCTTGGAGCAAGGTGGGGGTGGCCGGGGACCTGGCCTGCTCAAGCCTGCACAGGAAAGGGCTGCCAGTCCCTTCAGAAATGTCAGTTACACGGTCAGTGCTGTGTATCACGAATCACTGACCATCTCCATCCAATGCATCCAACCATTGATTGCCTTTTTTTTTTTTTCAAAGAGCTGCTGAGTGAAAAACCCCTTGGTCAGAGCTGTGAGGGTGAGAGATTAATTTTCACCCATGAGCTCTGCTGTCAGGACAGCTGGCAGTTGCTGAGGCAGCTCAAAGGGGTGGAGCTGACCTGGAAGGGGTTTGGGGTTAGCGCTGGAGGTAGAAGGCTCAGCAGGCATGGTTCTCAGACAGAAGCTCGGCCCGAGGATAAAGTGCTGCTATGGCCAGGTGCGAGCATGGGGACATATTCACATTCCTGCAGTTCTCCAGAATAAGGCAACTCCTACACAATAAAACAGCCATAACAGGCCGTGCGCAGTGGCTCACGCCTGAAATCCCAGCACTTTGGGAGGCCGAAGTGGGCGGATCACCTGAGGTTAGGGGTTCAAGACCAGCCTGGCCAACATGGTGAAACCCCATCTCTTCTAAAAATAAAAAATCAGCCAGGTGCGGTGGCGGCGCACCTGTAGTCCCAGCTACTCAGGAAGCTGAGGCAGGAGCATCGCTTGAACCCGGGAGGCGGAGGTTGCAGTGATCTGAGATTGTGCCACTGCACTCCAGCCTGGGCTACAGAGTGAGACTCCATCTCAAAACAAAACAACCATAACCACCGCCCCACATGCATTCGTGTGTGCATCTCTGCAGTAGAACGACTTTTCCAAACGCCCACTAGTCTCAAGCCCGAGTTCTGGAATTTCAGTTGCTACTTCTTCCAGCTTTGTTGTCAGGGTTCAGAACAGGCTGTGATGAATCGACCCTCTCCTAACGAAGGGTTCTCCGGGAACCCAGTGTATGCAGCCAACGTCGTCCTGGGCAGAGCCCTGATTTCCTTCCAGCAGCCTCTGGGCCCTCTGAGCACGCTGGGCTGTTCCCACCAGAGGGCTGGCTGCACGTGGAACGCCTCCGAGGAGTCCACGGCTGTGGCTCTGCTCTGGCTGTGGCGACATCGCGTGGCCTGACGCGGAACTGCACCTTGGTAGCTGGCGGCCCCTCTCCCAGGCTACTGCCTTCTGCCTTTTTCTCTCTGTTGCTGTCTCTCTTCTGTTCTGCTTTTTTTCCTTCTTTTCTTTCCCTCTAGACTCGGCTTTGCAGCTGGAGAGCCTGGTCCGTTTGTCCCTGGGGAAACACTTTATCAGGCCGAGCGAAATGTTGTCTCAAGTCACAGAAAATCCATGCTTTGGGGGATGGCCCTCGCCAGCCAGAGCCAGAGTTCTTCGAGTGTAAGTGGCCACAGGAGCCCTTAAGAGTGAGCCTGTCAACCCAGAGAGAGGGCAGGTGGTGGCAGGGCACAGGGAGGGAGGGGGCGGCCTGCCTAGGCGGGTCAGGGTCTGCTGGAGGACTGAGAAGGCAGGCGGGTGAGGCAGGTAGCAGTACTGTGTGCCTCTGCTCCGGGGCAGAGCAGGCTGGGAAGGGTGAAGGCTGGGCGGGCTCTGAGGCTGTCCAGCCTACTGCAGGAGGCAGAGGGGATGACATTTGGGAGCCAGAAAGTCCAGGGTTTAAATCCTAGCTCTGCTTCTCATTGCCTCGTCTGATTTCTGACAGATCACCCAGAACCTGTTTGTTCCCTCCTGTTCCTATTTTCTGGACCAACATAGGTACAAGGTGGTGAAGGAGACAGAATGGCACCCCATGATGCAAGTTTAGAGCTGCCATTTAGTCTGTGTGACTGTGCGGTGCACAGTTTAAACACCTGATGGGCAGTGTTTCATCAAATCCTTACAACAAGGCTGTGACGAGGCACAGCCATTGTCTCTGTTACACCTGAGGATCAGGAGGTACACAAAGGTTAGTGACCTGCCGAGGTCACATGGTTGTCAAGGGCAGAGTCGGGATTTGAACCCAGTGTGTCCCGATCAAGCCCTCCACGCGAAATCACAGTGCTGTGCTGCCTCACCTGTCCTGGAATTTGGCTGTGGTTCCTTTTTTTGGGGGAGGGGGAGATGATGCATCCGAGTCCATTCTCCTTGAGCTTCTCACCTGGTATGTGCCATGTGTGTGTGTGACTTACTGGCAGGGTCAGGAAAGAAGGAACACGAAAGTGGGCTGGAGTGAAGTTGGGGCTTGTCCTGGGAGGCTGTGGGGCTTCTTGGGGTACACAGAGTTGGCCCTTTCCCCGGAAACAGGAATCCCTGGGTGGCCGTTTGTGCTCAGTTGCCCTGAGGACTGAGTGGAGCACACTAGCCTGGAGAATGTCCGCGTCCTCAGACCTGCTTCTGTGCTGGGTCCTGGGGATCCATGCCTGACCAGCCCTGGGGCCTGCCTGAGGAGGGTTCCACAGCTGCCTGATGTGGGAGTCCCTGCATACTCCTTGCTGAGGGATAAGGCAGCTTATGGTCGGGTGGCTTTACTGGCTCATAAGAGGCATGGGCGGCCTGGACAGGGGACATGGGTCTGGGCTCAGAGGGAATACAGATGGCATTTGAAGGAGAAAGAACAGGCTTGTGGACTGGGACTGAGGTTCTTAGAAGCAGAGGTGGGAGCCACAGCAGGACACAGACCCCATCCCTGCAGAGAGTGTGATGAGGGGCAAAACTGGCAGCAAAGGCTGAAAGGGCCCCAGTGCATGCATTGTCTCTGCAGACGGCATCAGAGCAGCCACCCCGAGAGCCTCGGTGCGTGGCTCTGCAACCACTGTACTGGGTTCCTTACCCTGCAGTCCTATGGGCCCTGAGGGAGGACAGAGCCCTCCACAGTACATCGCAGCATTGATGCGGGGATTATACCTGTCCCTACTACCTGGCCTTGGCTGCCCAACCAGCACCCGTGAGCACTTCCTTACCAAGGCCTCAGTTCTGGGTTGTGGTTTTGTGCAGAGACCCTCCTTGCCTGCCTCCCCATGTCCTCCCAGGGTGCAGCCTGCCCTCGGTGCTGCCCAGCTCCCGATACCCTGAGCTGGCTGCCCCAGGCTGGGCCCAAGTCAGCTGAGGCCCTGTCATGTGCTGTCCAGGGGGACCTGCCTGTCTTCTCAACGATCGGCGTCATTTGTTTTATTGTTGCTGTCAGCTGTCTTTAGATTGTAGGTTGGGTAAGGGTGGCAACGAAGGAGAGAAGGAAAGACTTCATGTTTATTTAGTTTTCCCAAGCCAAGTATCCCTGTGTGTGGTATAAACATTCCAGAAAGCTCTCCAGGGATCAAATTCCTACTTGAACCCAGGTCTCCTTCATGACAATACCCGGCCTCCAACTAGATGGGTGCATCTCTGCCTTTGCAGTGTGCTCCCCAAGAGTCTGTGCCAGTGGGCCCCCCTTTCCCCCTACCTGTTCCATGTCCCCATAGTAACTAGGGTTTTAAAAGACTCTTTGGCAGTTGCATAACTTGGCCCTCAAAGGGTTTCTGCCCAGCACCTCCTTTCTGGCGTAGTCTAGACGCCACTGCTTCCCAACATCAGGAGGGGGTCTCTCTGGAGATTTTTTTGCATCTGAAGCTGTGTCACTTTCATCGGGGTGGGAGGAATGGACGAGGCTGGTGGAGAAGCTGCTGGCCATAGCAGCTTATACAGAAATGCTTGTCCTCTGTTGATAACCAGGCACTCGGTGTGTATGCATGTGCATGTGTAATTTACTGAGATGCTTTTCATTCCATTTCCTCCCTACTTTCTTTCCCTGATTTAGGTTTCTTGAAATCCAGAAGCCCAGACTCTGTAAGGTGATTCGTGTCCTCGCCTTTGCTTATCCCTACACCTGGGACTCCCTCCCCATCTTCTACAGGGTAAGGACTGGCTGCAAATCCTCTCTGCCTGTTGGCAATGCCAGGAAGTCAGTTGCTTCCTGAGCTTCTGGGGGTCATAACACTGCAATGCGAACCATAGAACAAAACAGGAGTTGAGACCCAGGTGCTGCCTTGGTGGCACTTGAGGAGTGGTTAGGAGATGGCATAAACACAGAGGCCCTGACAGATAATACAACTGGGGGCTTGGGAACGTCGGAGAGCCAGGCAGAGCAGGCAGCCTGGGGCTTTGGGGGTGAGCAGGCAGCCTGGGGCTTTGGGGTGAGCAGGAGGGCGAGCTCTGCAGGCAGATCTCCAATACCTGCTGTCAGACCCTGGGCAAATTCTCTACACCTTGATTTCCCTCATCTGATTGGGCCTGATAACACCTCATGGGCCATGGGGAGGGTGACACGGAGAACAGGTAAAGTGCTGACTGGTAGCAGAAGTTTGGGAATGCATGATTCTATCATCAAGTAGTATGTGGTTAGTATTGAAGGAAAAGGTATGAATGAGGGTCTTAAACGTGTGATGGGAATGAGATGGAAAGCATAAAGGAAAAGGGTGTAGGAGGGACAACAAGAAGGACAAGAAGGGGAAAGTCCATGCACTTTCAAACCATATAAGCTTGAGTTCAAATTCTGGTCCCACTGCTCACTGGCTGTGTGACCTCAGGCAGGGCACACAACTCTCTGAGCCTCAGTTTAGTTTCCTCATCTGTACCTGAGAGTACCAGCCCCTCCTTTGTATCGGGTAATGACGATTAATCAAAACAATGGATCTAATAGGCCCTGCGGTGCCTGTCTAGTACCCAGTGAGTGACGCTCCCTCCTAGAGGCAGTGTCCTGTGGGTTTGAAGACTGAAGCCCAGATGGCAGGGCTGAGGGGCGTGGGGAGGGGCAGAGCTCCACCCAGAAGCTGGGGCATTGAGCATATTCTCTGTGCTCTGCCTCTGTGGATCTGAGGGAGCCCCAAAGATGGAGGTGCCACCCGTTCCCCTCACTCCTTCCTCGGCGCAGACCACACACAGGAAACCGAAAGCAGGCACAGCAATTCTGTCTCATGCACCTCCAAATCAGGCAGTGCAGGTCCTATGTTGTGACAAACGCTGTGTGCTTCTGGCATGTGGCTGAGTCAGAGGAGGGCAGAGGGAAGGGGAGGTCCAATTCTAAGTGGTGATGTTGATGCTGGAATCAGCCTGCCTGGATTCAGATGCGGACTTCGCTTCTCAGTAAGTGATGTGCAAGTCACTTTCTGGCCCACTTTCCTCATCTACAAAACGGGGAAAGTAAGAGTCTGCCTTATGGTAATTGTGGCTCAGATGAAATGATGCATGGAAGAAGCCTGGCCTGCTGCCCTTGGTAACTGCTAGGTACTACAGCTGTTTATAACAATAATACAAAAACTGTATGTAGCTCTGAAACAGTATAGTGGCCATGGTTGATACTTTTGGATGATTCAGAAGGCCTGTCAAGGATTTCTAGGCCTTAAAGCCTTAATTAGGAGTACTAGTGCAGTGGATGTGCTGATAAAAAGCGGGTTCTGGTTTGAATCAACCACTTCTTACTATACGGTTGTCCCTTAAACAACACAGGTTTGAACTTAACATGGATTTTCCTCCACCTCTGCCACTCATGAGACAGCAAGACCAACCCTTTTCTTCTTCCTCCTCCTTGAAATTTTCTCAGTAACACTTGCTTTTCTCTAGCTTACTTTATTGTAAGAATACAGTATAGTGTATAATACAAAGTATGTGTTAATTGACAGTTTGTTACAGGCAAGGCTTCCAGTCAACAGGAGGCTATTAGTAGTTAAGTTTGGAGAAGTCAAAAGTTGCACATGGACTTTTGACTGCAGGGGGTCAGTGCCCCTAGCCTGTATGTTAAGGGTCAAATTTACTCACATTTTATCCCCAGAAAGAGTAGCAATTATCTAACAGGATTTTTTACCTTTCTTTTCCTTTCCCATTCTTTCCTTCTTTCCTTTTTTTCCCCCTTCAGTAAGTAAATAACCCAAAACTCTTATGAGCATTTGGGGGATTGAAATACAATAGTCTTGAGTCTCAGCCGACCACACTCAAGGTAGGAGTTCCACTCATGTGGCACCTGAGTTTCCTCTCCCAGGCCACAGACTTGAGGAGGCGAGGCCTTGGCCTCTGGAGTTTGTGTGTGTGTGCTGACATGTGTGGGTGTCAGAGCCCCCGAAGTCCCAGCTCCTGAGAAGGAAGAGGGCCTGCCTCAGGTCTGTCCTCTCAAGGCCTGATGTTTCTTCAAACACCTGCAGCTATTCCTGTTCTCAGGGGAGAGTGCACAGAATGAAGCCACCTTGTACCACCAGAAGCACGTGATCATGACCCTCCTGGCCTCTTTCTTGTACTCTGCGCACCTGCCAGAGCGCCTAGCCCCGGGACGCTTTGACTACATCGGTGAGTGCTACTCTATTCATTGCCCTCCTGGCTGGGAAGGCTCCCGTCCCTGACTCCAGTGCATGTAGCTGCAAAGGCAGCGATGGGCAGGGATAGAGGCCAAGGTGAGTGACATTGCAAGTTGACAGAGGCCAGGATGTCCACAGCAGGTGCACTGTTAGGTAGCACGGGCAGGATGGAGGGCAGGTGGACCCAGGAGCCTAAAGCATTCTGATGGAGTATGGAGCCAGTGTGTCCTATTGTCATCTCGAACATGGAATCCCATTATTAAATGAACATTTGATAATGTTAATGGGGCTGGGCTTGGTGGCTCACACATGTAATCCCAGCACTTTGGGAGGCCAAGGTGGGCAGATTACTTGAGCCTGTGCTGCAGGCAATCCTGAGCAACATAGTGAAACTCTGTTTCTAAAAAAAAAAAAATACAAAAGTTAGCCGGGTGTGGTGGCATGCATCTGTGCTCCCAGCTACTTGGGAGGCTGAGGCAGGAGGCTGGCCTGAGCCTGGGAGGTCGAGGCTGCAGTGGGCCATGATCATGCACTGCACTCTAGTCTGGGGGAGAGAGGTCTTATCTGAAGAAAAAATAAAAAGAACATTGGGGGCAGCTGTGGAGAGGAAGAGGAAAGACAGGATGAAGATGGCTCTGAAGGTACCAGACAGGGGGCTGTGCAGAAAAGGGGAAAGGCGACAGCGTCCGTCTTTGTCTTGAGCATGGTGGGTGGGAGGGGGCCAGGAGTCGTGGTAGAGCAGCGGTTTCTCAGGGGGTGGTCATTAGCCAAGCATCAGCATTATCTGAGAACACGCAGATTCTCAGGCCCCACCTCAGACCTCCTGAACCAGAAACTCCCAAGAGTGGAACCCGGTACTCACACAGAGGCTGAGTCATCCTCCAGATGAACCTGAGCTCACTGAAGATGATGTGGGGTGGAGAGACGGTGTCAGGGTCACCGGGGTTTCCACCTGCTGGCAGAGCTCTTTCCCCCTTTCTGTCTAGGGAAGGTGGCGGGGGCATGCAGCATGTGCCTCCTCCGCCCCGGCTCTGGGACTGGATAGGAGGAGGCACCCTTGCATCACTCCTGGTGAGGCGAACAAGACTTTGGGGTGAGAGTTCCTTAGATGAGTACATGGGAATCAAAGGGCCAGTCATTGTCCCCACGAGGGCAGGAAGCTTGCTTCTCCCCAAGCCCATTTTGTCCCTGATTTTCCATCTCCTTCCACTAAGAGATGTGGCCAGATGTGGTTTATTTGATCCGATTAAAGTTTTAGCTCCTTTCCTTCTTTTGTTGTGTCAGAAAGGGTTGTAACTAGCAAAATGCTTAGAGGGCATATTTCCAAAAAGGAGGAAAAGGAGAGGCCAGGGAATAGGAGTCACCAGCACCCTGACTGCCATGTCCACCTCCCCAGCCCCCCTTGATGAAGTAGAGGTGGCTGTGTAGCGAGTCTTGGGGGATGCAGGAAAAAGAGCCCTGGGCCTTCTTTTGCTACCACTCAGGTTTCTTAACATTTTATTTCTCCCTAGGGGTACAGAGCTGAAAAACACCCCTGTGGGGGACATTTCCTAGACAATAGTTCATGACAGATCTTTAAGATTTGGGACATTGTTAGTCCTTAACTAACAGAGTCTGCTGGGGGTGGGAGTCCCTCTCTGGCCATGAGCCCCAGATTTCCTGGGAAGTGCTGGCCTGGCATGGTTTGGCCCACAGGAAGCTCCTCCCTATTCCTGTCAGGCAGGATTGTTGAAATCACTCTTCCTGCTGCAGCCACATTTCAGATACATCCAATGCTGATGGTTCTTTCTGTCTTTTATCTCATGCTCCACTGGAGACAGGCTTGAGCCTCAGCTGGAGAAGGTGCTAGTTACCGGCTCTGCCCTGTGTTCTGAGAGCACAGCTCTCTGCTGGAGAAGAAACCACTTTGCTGTATCACATACAGATTCGGAAATCGTACACAGCCCCCTAGTGTAGCCCAAGTAAGGCAGCTGTGGCAGCTCCAGGCACATCTTCTTCCTGGGAGACAGATACTGGGGGCCTCACAGCTCCCTGCTGTAGGAAACTTATCCACTTGAGAATCCTCGACCCTTCTACATTCTTATTCTGACTCTGCTCCTGCTCAATCGTGGAGGTGGCCAGGCTGCTTCAGTCTTAGGACACATTTATTGAATATTTCTTCTGAGATAGGTCCTGGGGTGCAAGACTGAAGTTTCTATTTTTCTAGAGATGGGATCTCCCTGTGTTGCCAGGCTGTATTGACCAGGCTGGTCTCAAACTCCTGGGTTCAAGCAATCCTCCTTCCTTGGTCTCCCAAAGTGCTGGGATTACAGGTGTGAGCCACCATGCCCAGGCTTTTTATTATTATTTTTTAAAACCAAAGGAGAATCCTTATTTAACTCTTATGTTGTATTAGTTCGCTAGGGCTGCCATAACAAAGTATCACAGACTGGGTCTCAACAACTGAAATTTATTTTCTCACAATTCTGGAGGCTGGAAATCTGAGATTGAAGTGTTGGCAGGGTTGATTTCAATGGGGGCCTCTCTCTTTGGCTTGTTGATGGCTGCTCTTTCCATCTGTCTTCATGTGGTCTTTTTCTCTGTGTATGTGCATGTCTGTGTCCTAACCTCCTTTTCTTATAAGGGCACCAGTCATAGTGCATTAGGCCCATCTTAGAGACCTCATTTTCACTTGTTTCTCTAAAGATCCTATCTGCAAACATGGTCTCATTCTGAGGATTAAGACTTCAGCACATGTATTTTTCAGGGACATCTTTCAGCCCATAACACATGTGGTCTCCTTCTTACTCCTGGGGTCTGAGGGTTGTCCTCCAAACTGCCCCTGACCCTAGGCATTGGATTGTTTTCTCACCAACCGCCGACCACCCAGCATGTCCCTGTGCACTCCCACTGCCCTCTACTTGGCTCCCATCCTGTGTGATGAGCACCATGTGAGCTGGGTCCAGCATGGCATCAGGGAGGAAGAGTCCTGGTCATGTCTGTGATTCACTAGCAGTGAGGAGAGCTCCACTTGGTCAGTGGCCAACAGAAAATTCAGCCAGCTTCTCCTTCAGCATTAAAGTGGGACTCTGAGCTGATCAGTGCTGGCTCTCAAGAGATGACCTTTGGCAGAAAGTGGTACCTAATTTTTTCATCTGAAAAATGAGACTAGTAGATAAGTTGTTTTAAAAAAGAATTTGGATTTGGTTTCTCTGGTGGCCCTTTAATTTTTCTCATATTGCTTCTTAAAAATAAACTTATTGGCTGGGTGTGGTAGCTCACGCCTGTAATCCAAGCACTTTGGAGGCCAAGGCGGGCAGATCACCTGAGGTTGGGAGTTTAAGACCAGCCTGACCAACATGGTGAAACCCCGTCTTAAAAAAAATAAAAATAAAAATAAACTTGTTATCACTTCTCAGCCTTTTGGCTAAGATCAAGTGTAAAATAGGTTTATTAAGGTATATTTCACATATTCAATAATTCCCTGATGTCAAGTATATAATTTAATGATATTTTCAGTAAAGTCACCATACATCAGTTTTAGAACATTTTCGTCCCCTCCATCAGACCCATGCACAGTTAATCCCTATTCTCACCCTGCTTGAGGCAGCCATCAGTCTACCCTCTGTCTTTACAAATTTGCATATTCTGGACATTTCATATAAAAGGAATCATAAAATATGTGGTCTCTCGTCTGTTTTCTTTCACTTAGCATCATTTTTGCATACATACTATGGCATGTATCAGTACTCAATTCCTTTTAATTGCTGATATTGATGGCCTTTTGTGTTTGCCGTAGGTCACAGTCACCAGCTGTTTCATGTGTGTGTGATCCTGGCCACGCACCTGCAGATGGAAGCCATACTTCTGGACAAGACTCTGAGGAAGGAATGGCTCCTGGCCACCTCCAAGCCCTACTCTTTCTCTCAGATAGCTGGAGCCATACTTCTGTGCATCATCTTCAGCCTCAGCAACATAATTTATTTCTCTGCTGCTCTGTATCGGACTCCTGAGCCAGAATTACATAAAAAAGAAACATGATTCAGACCATAAGCTTTTCATGCCAGGTGTCAACATTAAGCTGCAACACCTTAACCACCATAAGCCGGAGGTGGTTACAGCTTATAATGGCCTAAAATATTCATAACGGTTGGTGTCTTTTGTGTCTTTTGAATGAATTCATTTCAAAAAGGTATTCAGCTAGAGAACATTCTCTAAATGTATACTGATTCTGTGTGTGTGATTTTAAAAGGAGAACATGGTTCAAGCAAGTCCTTGTTAAAGCAAACTATTGACATTTCGTTAATTTTAAAATTACTGAAAATGGGGTTTTTAATTCTTTTTAAACAATTGGATTAAGCATATCACCCTGGAGCTTTGCATTACTCTTTAAAAAGGAATCTTTCTTCATTTGATAAATTTCATGTAGCGAAGCTTCTCTCAAGAGCTCTCGCGGTGGCCTGTCAACTACTGTGGGAGATTGAGCTAGGTCAGTCACTGGGAGGATCTGTGGAAGGAAGTTGGTCACTGAGAGCCTTGGGGACTGGGAAAACATTCCAGAATGAAGAGACCTGTTTGGGGAGGGGTCTTCTTTCCTTCTTCACCTAGTGAAGGGAGAACAGAAGGAGAGTCTTCTCTTCCCACAAGTCCATTCTGTCTTCAAGGTGCAAGTTCTCATGTCATCATGGATTTGGAGTTTGTCACTTTTTTTTTTCTTAAAAGTCCACCGTGGGGTGTCATGTGTTCTGTTATGCTCTGTTTTCTGGTTGCCAGTTTGATCTGCAAAGTATTATTTGGAGCAGGTAAAACGTGTTAAACTATAAGAGTTGGCTGAGTTAATCCCAATTAGTTGTGCTCATCTGCCACCTTTTCAATCAATGGAAATTGCTATATTTGGGGATGTCATACATTTGATATTGCTTCAGCATTTCAAATATGCTGCAAAATTTAGTATCCATGCGCATAGGATGTTAATGACCTTGCCAGTGGGGTGGTCACATACAGTGTTCTGAAGCTTTACAGGGAACCAGAAACATCCAGTAATCTTGTGACAGATGTGGACTCCTGGGGAAAACCACAGTGTTCTGCTTCACTAGGCTAAATGTAGGTTTTGTAGAGGAGAGCTGCACTGGAGCAAGGCTCCCAGGTGATCCTAATGCAGGAGGGCCACAGGCCAAACTTGAAGAACTGCTAGTGTTACACGTTCCAGAAAATATTGGACCTCTCAGCCTTGTTTTGCCTGATCTCAAGTTTTAGCAACTCACCAACAAAGGTGTAAGCCCCATTTTATGTTCCAGAGTTTTCTACTCTGAATAGTTCTGAAACACGGAGCATTTTCTCATTTTTTGCATTACTGATTAAAGTTCAGTATTTCATGGTGTTTCCAGGGAACACAGAAATGCTGGTGCAAGACAACTTTTGACAGAGGCCCATCAAACCCTGTTCTGCACTTGGTAATGACTTAGGGGGCCTTCCTCAAATTGCAGGATCCTCTTTGCTGACTCAGGAATACCCTATGTCTTAGACTACTGCCTCTACCATTAACTAGCCCAGACATTTGAATGGCCTTGTAAGTAGCTCACTGTCTAATCCTCTAAGGACAAGTAACAATTTATATTGGATGACAGTGGTCAAGAAATATGATTTTATTAGTTTTATTATTTGTTTACTTCCTCTGGGGAAGACAGACTGATAAAATTATATGGGCTGGTAAATTTTTGGCACATTAATTGCAAGCTGCATGACAAAATTTGTGTTTTTTGGCAACAACCTGCCATTTTTAGTGGAATTCCACAACAGCAGGGTCTGTGGGCTTCCAGTTCATCTTACTGCAACTTCAAGTTTATGGCAAAAACAGCTCAAAGTTTAAATTCCCCTTTCTATGAATGCCAGAAACATGCAGTGTTTTAAATTCTCTCCTTTATAGATAACAAAATAATGTTTAGCTCAGTAAAAATTGAAATAATGAGTGATCAATCTGAAGGATTTTGGGATTATTTAATCTTTGCTTATGTTGCTTTTTCACATGCTTAATGATGAAAATGAAATGTTAAATCAACAAAATAAGATCAAGGGTTTCATAACATTTTTGTAAGTTTGGCAAACATTAGTCCTGTATACTTCTGGGGACAGCGTTATAAATCAGAATTTTACGACAGTTGGCAGCACACTGATTTGGAAGCTTCCAGTGCAAAATGAGAATGGGTTCAAATATACTAATGATCATTAAGTATTAAGTAATAGGCATTAGATGCCTAATGTGAGTATGGTTCCATCCAAGCCATCTCAGAAAGCCTAAAATGTTGGCAGGGAGTCAGCTGAAGGCCTCAGTGGAGCTGGTCTCAATTTTTAAAAAGTGTCTCACTACACTTCAGAGATGTGACACATTTCCATTGATAACAATTGCTCACCATGGCATTGTCTCAAAAAAGACTATGGTCAGGAGGGTGACACATTCCTAATGGGATGTACCTCTCCACCCCCTTGCTTGAGAAGCACTACTCTAAAATTTACCAGACCTTACAACTGTGTTAAACTTGAATGTGTATGAATGAAGCCATACAGTCAACTTTACCTCCCTTCACTCTTTGAAGGGTTTCCATTTCCATTGCTCAGTTTTTAGAAAATAATTCCCATCTTTTTTCTTAAGAAGTTAATTTGTGGCTGGTCTGAAGGTAGTAAGTTAGCTCAATTGATTGTCACAGTCAGTCATAGATCAAGCTCCTTGTTCTGCTCTTTCCTTCTTCTCACTACTACACTTGACTCTAGTCTTAAAAGAAAGAAAGAAAGAATGAATGAATCTGTGGCTGGGTGCAGTGGCTCAGTGGCTCATGCTTGTAGTCTCAGCACTTTGGGAGGCTGAAGTGGGAGGACTGCTTGAACCCAGGGGTGCGAGGCCAGCCCTGGCAATAGAGTCAGATACTGCCTCTATAAAAACATCTAAAAGCTAGCTGGCTATGGTGCTGCACACCTGTGGTCCCAGCTACTGTGGAGGGTGATGTGGGGGGACTTTTGAGCCCAGGAGTTGGATGCTGCAGTGAGCTGTGATTGCACCACTGCACTCTAGATTGGGCGACAGAGCGAGACCCTGCCTCAAATTGAAAAAAAAAAGAAGTGAATTTGTAATTGTTGGTAGGATGTTGTGGGAAATCTAGAGGCTTTCTGAGTATAAAGTGATTTAAATATGTGATCTGCTGAAGTCTTTCTGGAAGTGTTGTTTTTTTCTCTCCCCTCCCCCTCCCACCACCAGTGGAACCTTGCTCACCGGAGAGGTTCTGAGGAAGGTGGGGTGGAGCAGAACGGCACTGTCAGATATGTTCAAGAAACCCTTCGTTTGACCTATTTTGTACCTTATGGCACCCTTTAAAATGTTTTTTAATTAAAAAAATTTTGAGACAGTGTCCTATTCTGTTGCCCAGGCTGACGTGTAGTGTTGCAATCTCAGCTCACTGCAACCTCTGCCTGCCAGGCTTCAGTGATCTTCCCACCTCAGCTTCCTGAGTAGCTGGGACTACAGGTGCATGCCGCCAAGCCTGGCTACTTTTTTGTATTTCTTATAGAGATGGGGTTTTGCCATGTTGCCCAGGCTGGTTTCAAACTCCTGGACTCAGTGATTTGTCTGCCTCAGCCTCCCAAAGTGCTGGGATTACAGGCATGAGCCACGCTGTGCCCAGTCCATGATACCCTTTTGAAACACCTATTAACACTGTACAACAACACTTTAAAACATATTATTTGAATGCCAGCCTCTGATTTTCTAGTCAATACTCCGTTAAGGCAAAGACCTATTTCCAAACTCCGATGTTCTTCAACTTACACTAATGTCTGGCTTTCTTGAACTGTGTGAGAGAAAAAAATAAATAAAATTTATTTATTATCATAAAGTCATTCTGTTTGCCACTTGATTTGGTTATGTTTTATCTACCACACTGCAAACGTGTTCATTCATCATAAGAAACAGATCCCCATAAACGTGTATATCAGTAAATCATTCAATGAATAGTTAGTGCTTCGTATGTATAGAATGGCCACTATCCTAGGAACTGGGGATACACAAGTGAACAAAACCTACAATGTCCCTCCCTCATGGAGCTAGTGTTCTGGCTGGGCAGGTAGGCAGGATATATAGAGGAATCCAGATACTAAGTTCTATAAAGAAACTAAGCCTCATAGGGCATGTGAATTGACGACCACTCTGACAAGCTGACATTTGAGGAAGACTTAATGGGCAAAAAGGAACCAGCCTTGTCAGCTTGTCAGGGGAAGGCACTGCAGGTCAAGCTAAGTAGAGAGGTCCCAAGGCCGGCAGGTACTTGTTCTACTGGAAGGATGTTAACTCTGGAAGATACCTGGATGACTTGACTTTTGAAGAATTCTGAGATTTTCCTGATTTTTTTCCCCCTTGAGAAATTGCCTCTAGAGCTTTCCTATGTCTCCTTGGTTCTTGTATGGAATGTGTCAACTTGTAAAAGATGCATTTCAGAAAAACAGTTGTCATGCTCATTCTCTTCATGCTCAGCAACAGATTTCTAAAACAGGCTGAGCTTCTGCCTCCTCCAGAACACAGAAGGAAGGGCCCTCAAAAAGCACTGAATTCAGCCCTTTTAAAATGTGTTCGATGTATAATGCAGATATTCAGGCCCAAACATACTGACACAGACGACCCACAGTAGGGGAGGGGGTCCTGTAGTTTCGAATTGTTAGCTAAAGCTGTAGGTGATTTTTAATACAAGGGAGTTTAAGAAGCACTGATATAGTCCAATCATTTTTAAACATAATTTCAGACTTAGAAAAATGTTGCAAAATAGTGCAAAGAATTCCCAGGTACTTTTCACCTTTTCTCCTTTACTCCCTTTTCCAACAGTGAGAAACCTGACTCCCATTAGCCACAATACATTTTTTTATTATTATTATTTTAATTATTATTATTTTTTTGAGATGAAATCTCACTCTGTCACCCAGGGTGGAGTACAGTGGCACGATGTTGGCTCACTGCAACTTCTCCCTCCCAGGTTCAAGCGATTCTCCTGCCTCAGCCTCCTGGGTAGCTGGGATTACAGGAACCTGCCATAATGCCTGGCTTATTTTTACATTTTTTTGGTAAAGGCGAGGTTTCATCATGTTGGCCAAGCTGGTCTTAAATTCCTGACCTCAAGTGATAGACCTGCCTCAGCCTCCCATCATGCTGGGATTACAGGCATGAGCCACCTCGTCCAGCCCACAAAACATTTTATTTGCTCAATCCTAGAACGTACAGAATGTTGTTCCAGAATTACCAACTCATGTGCCTACTAATAAGAATTCAACATGTTTCAAGTTCTTTATGTCTTGAACCTGAAGGCAAGCTTGATTCTAAACAGTCACAGTTACCTGGATTATTTCCCCCTTTCTGTATATGTTATTTATTTGAAATATAGTTCAGATAATTTCTTTTTTTTCGAGACAGAGCCTTGTGCTGTCGTCGGGCACCCAGCTGGAGTGCAGTGGCATGATCTTGGCTCACTGCAACCTCCGCCTCCCCAGTTCAAGCAATTCTCCTGCCTCAGCCTCCTGAGTAGCTGGGACTACAGACATGGGCCACCACGCCCAGCTAATTTTTATATTTTAGTAGAGACGCGGTTTCACTATGTTGGCCAGGTTGGTCTCGATCTCTTGACCTCATGATCTGCCCGCCTCAGCCTCCCAAAGAGCTGGGATTACAGGCATGAGCCACTGCGCCTGGCCTCATTTGTTTCTTTTTGTGTAAATTTTACTGTCCCCCCCAACACATACATACACACATAATGATTTTATTAATTTGTGTTTTGTGTATGTAAACATTAAC